GAAGCTGAGGAGTTGTACTTGTATCCTTAAGGATCCAGGGCTGAGTGGCCTCGGAATGGAAGAACATGGTTTAAAGACTCTCAAAGTAGCCTTGAGGACTTAACACTGAGGCTCAGGACGGTTGAGTCTTTTAGGACTCCAGCTTTGAGTGCTGAAGCCTAGGGATAGATAGTCCAGACGTGATAAGACCTCGTGGCCCCTGGGGATTGCAGGGTGGCTGCTGAAAGCCCTACCTACCGTGATCCTTGGCAACCTTCTTCCCACTGATTCTCATGACTACCAAAGCGCTGATGGACTGACTGTTCACAGGTAGGTGAAGAGTGTTCCAGGGGCTTCACTGACGACCTCACTCGTTGTCTCTGGAATTGTGTGCTAAGCTGATTGCTTCACCAGCGTTCCACTGTGGGGACCTGGAGAACTCCCAAAGCAGGAGTGGAAACTCAGGCTGAAGGTTATATAGAAAGGTTCCTCACGAAACCCTTAGCAACCAGCGAGATGGGAGAAGAAAGGCTGTCCCCGGGGCCTGGATTCCAAAATACGGAACTGAACTATGAGGCTGAACTTGTGTAACGATCAACAGGTTGGCTCTCCTTCTGCTGAAAATTAGAGCGGAAGCGCCGAAGAAGTCAGGCCTGGAATGTTCCGTCTAGTCTGGAGGTGATGGGAGCAGAGGTGATTTGGTGAGATTTTACCAGGTTCCCCAGCAAGAGCACACTGTAAGCTACAGCTCAGATGGAAAGGTGTCCTGGCCAGGGAATACCACAAAGTCACACTGCACAGCAAACCTCAGGCAAGAGATTTAGTGGGAGGCAAAGAAAACCAGGAATGTTGGCTGCCTCGGGGGAGGCACAATAGAGAACTAAACAAGATACAGGGCTTATGTAGAGTTTCTTGGTGAGGGGGGTGTGGAACTTTTCAGGGTGAAATTTTCCAGGGTGGAGATTGGTAGGATTTCAAGTGCAGAGATTGGGCTTTTTACTCTGTATAGTGGGGTGGGGCAGGGTCCAGCAGTTAGTATACATAGAATGTTCTGTGGATGGAACCTGGAAGTTGGAGGTTCTTGAGGAAGGGGCCTGGCCATTCTTATGACTTGAGGGGCTTACACACATTTGGGGGATAAAATGAGGTGGTAGACACCCCGGAGTTGCAGCTACTTCCATAACCCAGGAAACGGTTCGTATGACTTCATCATTGTGATGACCAGAGGGTCAAAAGCTGTGGTTGGGTTCTGTGTTGGTTTTTCATTTAAGAAACCTGAGTTTTAATGACTGTAATTAGGCATCTAGAAGAACTGGTGTTTATTAATTATACAGATACAAGTAGGTGTTTAGGGATGAGAGGAGCAGTATAACTTAAAGCAACTTAGAGAGTCCATAAATATTATAAAATTAAAATCAATTTAGTCAAAGCTCATTATTATAAACGCACAGCTATGTGAGTAGTGTCGGACAAAAGAAAAAAAAAAACAAACAAAACACTTGGCAGTCTGACTCGGGAAGGAACACAAGATAGAACACCAAGCAAGCGGCACCAAGCAGTTGTCATTGTACATTTTCTATGCAGTGTAGGGTAAGTATGCATGGAAGCTGTGCGCTGAAAAGAAAGTGAGGAAACAGCATCTGTCTTTAGAATGGTAATCAGAAAGCTGTGGATGTGAAAGCGGCTCCAGAGAGCAGTTCCTTTTATTTGTATCTAATTCACAACGGCTGCATGTTTGCAGCCTGCTCCATGTACTTCACCCTCAGAATTTAAACTTTTTTGTCTATTATTACTGTGTATGTCTGTGTACATGCACACACCACAACATGTATAGCTAAAACTATAAAACAGGGAAAACTCTGTAGTTATCTCCTTCTACCTCTACTTGCATTCCAGAGATCAAAGTTGAGTCAGACCCGACCTGCATAGCCAGTGCCTTTACCCACTGAACTGCCTCATTAGCTATGTTTTCTTTTTTATGGTTTTTGTTTTGGTTTGGTTTGGTTTGGTTTGGTTTTTTCCGAGACAGGGTTTCTCTGTGTAGCTTTGGAGCCTATCCTGGCACTCGCTCTGGAGACCAGGCTGGCCTCGAACTCACAGAAATCTGCCTGCCTCTGCCTCCCGAGTGCTGGGATTAAAGGTGTGCATCACCAACACCTGGCTGCTATGTTTTCAAAAGGACCAGAGAGTGAGTGGATCAAAGAGCAGTTGTGGACACGCCTACTTGAAAGATAGCCCCTCGGGTCAGGAATTCTGGAAAGATTAAGCTTGAAGACACCTAAAAGGGCTGAAGTTTGCCCCGGCATATAAGCCTGAGTTAACACTTAGGAAATGGAATCAGCTTTATGTTGCCTGGGCTCACACACAGGTGCTGAAGTCGAGTAGTTCTCCTCCCGAGCACTTGCCCCACACTTGGGAAAGGCCTGGTGCTGACGCTCAGGAAAATAAGCGCAGGATCAAGACTCAGTATCATGACGTGAACATCTTGGTAGAGTTGGTGGGCGTCACAGAGGTGAGAGAATGGAGGAAAGTGAGAATTTGGTGAGCAGGCAGGAATCAGGCTTCCGTAGAAAGAGTGGATATTAGTCAGATATACAGGAACGTTAAGTCAAGATGACAGTGTGGCCAGTATCTGAGCCTGTTCACCAGGCTCTGGGCTCACCAGCATTTAGAAGTGTCTGAGGAGTTTCGGTCAGGCTGGTGGGTTAGCTTAGAGCCATAGGGGCGTGTCTATGCGATCTTGGGTGGAAAGCCTCTGGGATTAAGCTTTCTGTTGTTAGAGACCAGAAAGCGGTGATTGTGGAAGTGGTACCAAGAGAACCCAAGCTGAAGAAGCCATAGGGTCCTGTGATTCCCCAGATGGTTTCTGGTAGCTGTCCTCTTTGGCTTTGGCTGTCTTCTTGCCACAGTCTAGAGTGACTTGAGAAGGACATCTCCATCGAGGCACTATGCATATCCGATTTGCCCATTGGCATGTCTGGGGGGGGGGGTTGATTTTTTTTTTTTTTTTTTTTTT